CCATGTTGGGCTGCCAGGTCCCATTGGGCTGAATCAAGGTTCCCCCTCTCTCTCTGGGATTTTGGCATGGATAGTCCTCATCTCAGGGAGAACATGACGTTCAGGTTTGACATGCTGGAAGTGTGGAAAACTACAGAAGATTTTGAAATGTGCTGTGGTTTGGTAGTGTTCCTTGACAATAAGTTTGGACTCTATAAGAAACAGAAGAAAGGAAGAGGGGGTAAAGGGAAAGGACAAGGAAAAGATGGAAAGAACAGGCCAAAGGCCCAGACTGCCTGGAATGGGTCATTTGTTTGCAGTACATATGGCTAGTCACTGAGAATAGAATTCAGTCGGGTTTCCAGTTTGCTATCAGAATGTCTGTGCCCAAAGCAAGATGAAGCCTTTATTATTCACAATGAGTGCTACCTACCAGCCATGTGAAGTGGTTCTGTGTACCCTAACAGAGGAGTGAATATTATATATGCATTCAGAGCCCAAAGCATAGGATACAGCATGTCTTTTTGTGTCTTCTAACAACAGGAAATTGTAATTTCTCATTGCAGCTTCAGGAAATTATGTTTGCTGAAGTAGAGCCTACCCCCAGAATGGCACAGAGGTTTCTGCCTGCCAGACCTGTAGTCCAAACCCCAATGATACCCCAGCGTGAGCAGAGCCTGGGAGGCTCTGGGTCAATGAAATGGGCCTGGGCCACCTCAGAAGGAAAATTCTAGATCTCCGATCACTTGAAAATAGTACAATGGTTCTCTTAGAGAAAAAATGAACTCACTGAAAATCTTACGTTACTAAATATTATTCCAGCAATATCAATACTCTGAGCATTAGAAATATCTGGAAAAAAAGTAACAATCTAGATATGAAAGGCCCAGCTCTCTGACGTTGAAGGCCTTGCCCGGTGCCTCTAAGAATGTAAGGTGCATATGGCTCACCTGGAGATCTTGTTTAAAAATGGATTGTGGATCAGAACAATGGCATTACCATATGTGTGAGTCCAATGACAGAACACTTCCACCCAAAGTCAGACAAGGCCAGTCTGTTGCACCTAAGCAGTGAGGTCAGAGATGTCTGGACCACGGTGAACCAATGCCCACAACTCAGGAAGCTGCCTATGGCAGATGGAATCCTATCAGCATGTACCCGATTTGCACTACAGCTGAGCAGCCCCGAAGCCACTGTGCTGTGGCTGCCACTTGACCTGGTGGGCAAAGCATAGCAGAACATGCCGACCTGGGAGGCAAGGACACAGCCATGATGCTTCAGATGCTCTCCTGAGCTCAGGATGTCTCATCTTCAGTGTCTAAGAACTGCAAGTAGGAGAAGAGAAGCCAGTGAGCTAAGGCTACCTGGAGACCTGTCCTCTTGTACGGCTGCCTTGCAGTGGCTGGGCACGGCTGCCATGCCTGGAATGGCTATGATGGCGAGTTTTCTATAGGCTTCCTCTCTTCTTTTGTTTCGTTTTGTTTTTCGAGATAAGGTTTCTCTCAGTCTGTAGAGCAGGCTGGCCTTGAACTCAGAGATCTTTCTAGCCTCTGCCTCCCGAGTGCTGGGATTAAAGGCCTGTGCCATTACCGCCCAGCTAGACTTCCTCTTGGTGTCTCCTAGGCTTCCTCTTGGTCTCTCCTAATATGCTTTTCCTGGATGAAGTCTTGGGCTCAGCACCTAGAGAGCAGCCACAACACCCTCATCAGCATCACATCCTTGCTGCCTCATTAACAAGGGCCGTCAATACCTCAGTATTTGTTTGTTAGTTTGTTTGTAGCAACCATTCAAGAACGTCATACCTGTCTTTGGCCCTGTGGGCATTCAAAATGTCAGCATCCATCTCTAACCTTATCCATCAAGCTGTACCCCGCTCCTGGGCTGGAGTCTGACTCTGGGCAATATTGGGGTCCACAGAGGTTTCCTAGTGAGATCTGAGCTCGCTTTACACAGCAGGGTTGCATAAGGGGATGGATTGACCACGAGCGTGGTTACTACGTGTTTGGAAGGGTCTGCACTTGGCTGTGCTAGGGGGAGGTCTTTGGCTCCACCCCTTGGCATTCCTTTAAAAGCCCTTTAGCAGAGACAGAAGGGGCTGGTGGATTTTGACCCAGGCCCTCCCGAGGCTATCCTGTGTTTCTGTCTCTCTCTTCTATATTTCTATCTAAATCTCTTATCCATCACTCCTCAAGAGCACCCTGGTGGGGGCGGGGAGTTGGTCTCCCACAGGGCACTATCTGTAGACTTCCTGGATCTCCTGGGGGGGGGGAGCTGGTCTCCCACAGAGCACTATCTGTAGATTTCCTGGATCTTGCACCTCTGTGTCTCCTGCTCTAGGCACCCAAGGAGCAGCTGCTTAAGTTTTGATGTTGGAGCATATCTGTACTGGGGATCACGGCCACTGCTAGAACAGCTGGACTGCCCTGAGTAGAACTACTGAGAGTTCTTCCTCTGCCTATGTGGGGAAAGGAGGTTCTACTCCCAGAGCTGGGAGCTTTCCAAAGACTCTCATCTGTCTTCTGATAATTGTATGGAGTGTTTGAGGCTCTCCTGTTAAAGAGAAAACTGCAGTAAGCTTTGAAGGTCAAGAACAGCCAGCCATTCGTTTTTACCTCTACGAAATCCTCAGCCTAAAGAGAGTGAGTTCCTGGTTCCTCATGCCTTATATACCTTTCTCTGCCCAGACATCACTTCCTGGGATTAAAGGTGTGTGTGCTTCCCAGTACTGGGATTAAAGGTGTGTGCCACCACTGCTTTACCTCTATGTCTAATCTAGTGACTGGCTCTGTCCTCTGATCCTCAGGCAAGTTTATTAGGGTACACCATATATCACCACACTAGTAACTTTTTGTAAGGTATATACAAAAATGTATGCATCATAGGATGATTATCATAGTAAAATAGCCAAACAGATAACTAATAAACATACACCCTTATAATGATTTTTTTATGCGGATGTCAAATCTTTTTGAAGAATACTTAAGTGGCACAAGGAGTAGTTAATTGCAACATTCAGCTAATTCAAGGACCATGCACTAATAAAAATGACACTAACATGAGCCAGGCTCATGATCAGCATGTGGCAAAGAAGAAATGGAAGAGATAGGATGAAACACTAGCTGGATGTCTTCGTCTATTAAAACTAGAGGCAACTTGTACTTCCTCCCACAGTACTCATTATAGTCACAAACTGCTCAACACACGCTCACCGTCTTTTATAACTAGAAAAAGGGGCTACACAGCAAACAGGGGCTCAGATGCTGTCCTTTTTTTTTCACACTATTTCCAAATTATTTGAGAAGCTTAATAATTTTGAGTAATTTTCCTATATTAATGCTCATGTTAGGTCATTTATATAATGGAAGACCATACAAAGATACTTGCTTCAGTTCCAATAGGCTGAGCGCTCACAAGTCATACTTCTTATTCCATCCAGGAAAGGCTGGGCAAATGGCCCAATAACTTGAGTTTGCCAGGCAGATTGTCTCCCGGCACTGGAGAGATGGGCAGATCCAGGGTCATAAACAAGATCCACTTACAAGGAGCAGAAATACTGGTGCCCTAGCCCTGTAGGTCACTGTAAGGACCACAGTCTTGGTCCTAAGCAAGCCTCTTGCTTTGGCTGGCATCACTGCAGGGAACCCTAGTAATTACTTACGGTAAACATCAGAGAGGAAGGGAGAGCGATCTGTGTGAAACGTACCCAGAAGTTTCTTGAGTGGCTTCCGTCGGCTATAGGGTAGTCCTACACCCAAGAGGAAGAGAGTTCACCTCATGCCAGCCCCTTCTTCTCTCTTGTCTCATGTTGTGGGGGCAGAAGAGTTGGCCAAGAAGAAACACATATGAAGAGCACAGGCCATAGACTCAGGCTGGCCAAGAATCTTGAGATTTAATAATAGGATAGAGACCTGCATTCCCCAGGCCTCACCACCACACCAACAGAGTTCCATAGTGGAAAGGGCTGCTGGAAACAGCTCTCTCAGTGGAGGTGATTTAAGGGAGCCCACAGTCAAGAGGGGCAACAAAACCAGAACATTGGAGGAATCCAAAACCTCTGGCACTAGCTACCACAAATAATAAATACAGCCCAATTAATCAGTCTAGCCATATTAACACAAATCCTCACACTACACGCCAACATCTCCGTTCCTATTATCCAGTATAACCATCACCTGATATGTGAGGCACCTTTAGGAACCAACTCCTTCACTCATGGGGGAGAGTGTTGCTACCCTTAAGGAGCCTGCTGATACATTTTTAGGGTTGTTCTTTACATTTCAGCTAAAACTCTTTGGAGAAATTTAGAAGGGCCAGCCAAGGTCACCAAGTAACTAAGCATTTGAAGTCCTGCTGCCTCTCCTTAGCTCCCAGGTTCCTGTAATCTCCATGGAAGAAATCCAATGAGACACAGAGATTAGAGGAGAAAATGGTTAGAATTTATTACAGAGTAACCTTGAGGTCTCTCAAGGAGCGAGAGCAGACAATAGCCAACCATTAGCCTGATTTACATTTAATGCAGATGTTATACTATTTCTTAAGCTTCTAGGACAGGCAGTTTTCCTGAGAGACTTCTTCCTGCCCAGGTGACTGATGGGCCCATTTGGATTGACTCTTGCAGGATAGAAAGTGGTATATTTTCATTCTCTATCAGAAATCCTCTTCCTACACATTAATCTCATAAGGACTCAGGTTCCTGGAACCAGGTTTGATAGCTGTCAATTAATGATATCGCGTCTCTTCCCAGGGCCAGAGCTAGGACTCTGAGCAGTAATTAGGGACCTGCTCCTCCTGTTCCTGGTTTGATGCACTGCTGATTATGAGGGAAGGCTCCAGAATAACGTCCTCTCCTCCTGCTGACTACTAACTACCTAACACGGGTTAATTATTTTAGGCAACTAAAGTAAACTTGACTCACTGTAATGCTGAACCTACCATAGCCAGAAGCTTCTTATCCAACAGTTCCCCCTTTTGACCCTGAGCCAAGGACGCTCAGGTTTGCATCTTTTTTTTTTTTCTTTTTAAAAAATATAGAACGCTTCATGGATTTGCATGCCATCATTCCACAGGGCCCATGCTAAGTTTCTGTGCATTGTTACAACTTTAGTATGTTATGCTGCCAAGACAAGCTCTCTCTCTCTCTCTCTCTCTGCTTCTTCTTTGTTGTCGTCCTCCTCCTCCTCCTCCTCCTTCTCCTTCTGCTGCTCCTTCTTCTCCTTCCCCTCTTTCTTCTTCTCTTTTACTTAATGTTTGTGGGTGTTTTACTGCATGGATGTCTGTGAATCATGTCCACAGCTGGTGCCTGCAGAGGCCAGAAGAGGGCGTTAGATCCCCTAGTACTGGAGTTACAGATGGTCGTCAGCCACCACGTGGGTACTGGGACTAGAAACAAACCTGGATCTTCTCGAAAAGCAGCCAGCACTCTTAGTTGCTGAGACACTTCTCCAGCTCCCTTCCCCTTTGTGAACATGTGGTCTGTGACCTTAAACTGAACACACTCAGAGACAGGCCCACTCTTGTGTGTATTTTCATATATTTTGTATAAACTCCCTAAATAAAATCCCCATGCTTCCTTTGTTTGATGAGGAGAGCAGTCAAGAGGGTGGGGCAGGGGGACGTGAGTAGAGGCTAGGCTAGGCCAGCCTGAGCTACATAGCAAGATCCTATCTTTAAAAAAGATACTTCCAGGGTTGGGGATTTAGCTCAGTGGTAGAGCGCTTGCCTAGCAAGCACAAGGCCCTGGGTTCGGTCCTCAGCTCCGGAAAAAAAAAAAAAAAAAAAGATACTTCCTCCAAATCCATGGCTCAGTGAATCACACAGCAAAATAAATAGATGAATGTGACAAAGAGATTATAGGGAAGAGGGGAGGTAGACACGGGTAATAGTGAGATGGGAGAGGTTTGAGGGTTTCATAAATTCATGTGTGAAACTGCCAAAGAACACATTTAATTTAAAATGGGAAAAAATTAAAAAGGCAAAATGTCCCAAACCCAATCAAACAAACAAAAAACCAAATATATAAAATGGAATGAAAATCACAAGGCACACTCTAAGGCAAACAAAAGAACACTCAGAGGTTAAGCAAGCCGTGAGTCAGACTCAGTCTAACTCAGAGTGAGGTCACTAATAGGCAATTTAAAGTACATCTTAGAATGTCCAGAGTTCAGCTGCCAAAAGTAGACCACACTCAAGATGTAGTGTGATGGTGGCAGACCACCAGTGTGTGATGTAGGCTGACAGAAGAAAAGTCTAGTAAATTATCTAATGTAAACACCATGAAACTAAAACTCTGTAGCAAACATAAAACCAAAAGGAAAGAATATGCCAGCCTATGGTATCTGAACTGTGATAACCTGCAAAGAGAACTGTCTTAAAGACGATGGGAGTCTCATTTGACTTTAGAGAAATAAGGATGAGGGTCATAGGTGACTTTTTACCAGAAGTGTGCAAGCAAGACATGTTTGATGTAAAATAAAATGTTTAAAATAACAAAAGAAGAAAAACCTAGAATAATTCTATAACCACCACCACCAACAACAACCCTAGATCCTTCCTTTTAATGTGAGACATAAAACTTTCTCTGGCAAACAAAAACTGAAGGAATTCATTGTCCGTGAACCTGTCTCCCAGAAACTTTAAAATGAAAATGAGGAGGTGGGTAAGAGTTTGAGTCTAGGCTGGTGAGCCGGCTCAGCTCAGTGGGGAGCGGCACTTGCTGTGGAAGCCTGGAGATCCTCAGCGTCCATGTAAGGAGAAGGGGGAGACTGACTCCACAAAGTTGTCTCTCACGCTCACAGCTGACCAACACACACATCGTAGATACACACACACACACTGTTATTGCCCCCTGAAGCACAATATTATAGGCACAAATGTTATATGAGTAACAAGCCGTTTTCTGATTGGACTTACGACCTTCTGCGTAAGACATAATTTATGTCTGGCTCTGTTAATGAAGCCAAGAAGCTGTGGCCAGGTAAGTCACAGGCCCCACAGGAGAACCTATTGCTATTATTCTCTTAAATGTACATAGAGGTAAACTTACTCCTATAGATAAACACATCTCTCAACTCTCATTGGAGAAGCTTCTTCTTGCAGTAGAATGGCGATTAACACAGAGACCCGCAACTGGTCGACATGCAGAGAATACGGGACTAGGGAGTACTCATGTCCTAAATGGGACAACTCTCTCCCCCTCCCTCCTCCCAAGGCTCAGGGATCATTGAGGAAGAGGGGCCAGAAAGAGTGTAAGAGCCAGAGAGGCAGTGAAGAAATACAGTGAAACACTTTCCTGGATACAATAGGGAAGTTGCGCGTATGAACGAATGAACTCACTCACAGTGGTTGTGACAGCATACGTAAGACCTGCACAAGAGCCAGTCACAGAAAAACATCACAGTATGGAGGGAGGAAGTGGTCAGGAATTCCTCCCCTTAGCTGAGGAGCTATTGCCAACAGACGGCTGCTGGGAAAGGAAGAGTCAGTTTTCTTCAGGGATGTAGTCCCTGAGAGGCTAGTATCTGACCCAGGATATGGACGTGCACTCATCCACACATGGTAGCACTAACTGGACACCATGGATTTGAGAAGAGGAGGAAGGAGAGGAGGGGGAGGAGGGGGAGGAGGAGGAGGAGGAGGAGGAGGAGGAGGAGGAGGAGGAGGAGGAAAGAAAACATGAAATTGGGAGGGAATTTGAGGACAGAGAAGGAATTGGAGGGGAGTGAATGAGGGCAGGTGGACTTGCCCAAAACATATAACATTCACTATGAAATTCTCAATTAAAAATAAAGAAAGCTCATCATGTTCTTGGTACTTCAACTAAAATATAGACATTTTAACTTGGAAAGAAAAATTTTGGATCTACATAAAGGATGAACATCAGAGAAAGAACAAATAAAGACAACTGTAATTGAGAAATGTATATTGCAAATTTAGGCTAGAGTTAACCTTTTTTTAATAGAAAATAGAAAATCTGCCCCATATTAAAGTAGGTGCCAGGGATCCAGAGTCATAAGGTTCAGTTTTCTCAGTTTCTTCATCTGTGGAATAGGATGGGTAGAATAACTCACCTCTCTCAGATCTCCTTCCTGTTCAGTTATTACTAAAATCAAAAGGAAAAGGGCAGGTAGGGATGGAGCTGAGCTGGTGGGTTCCTAGCAGCACAAACCTCTGGGTTCTTTCTCAGCACATACATACTGGGTATGCTGATGAACACCTGTAATCCCAGCACTTAGGAGGCAGTGGCAGGAGGATCCGAGACTCAAGCACATCTTTGGCTATGTACAAGATTGAGGGCAGTCTGGGTTCTCAAAAAAAAAAAAAAAAAAAAAAAAAAAAGACTTTAAAACAATTACTCCTAGGCCTGGCAGTAGTGACACACACCTCTAATGCCAGCACTCATGAGGCAGAGGCAGGCAGATCTCTGTGAGTCCAAGGCCAGCCTGGTCTACAGAGCAAGTTCTAGGGTTACGCAGAGAAACCCTGTCTCCAAAAAAAAAAAATCTATCACAGTAAATTGGGGTTTTCTATATCCAAACTGCACACTGCTTGTATTAGCTTCTCCTAGCACATGTAACAAAGTATTCAGTGTGGACACTGGTTCAGTACCGGTCTCCAAATCCTGCCCACAGTATCCTGTTGTAAGTAACAAACACAAAGGCTGAAAGAACAGGCCATTTCATGGTATTGATTCCACTGTCAGGGACATCACAAGACACGTGCCTTTCAATCTGCAGAAGAAATAAGCCACACGGCCTTCTTTGACTAAACAGAGCTCATGATTAGTTTGTGATTGCCTTCAGAGCCGACACTAGGCATCCCTCCCCGGACTCGCTGTCAATACATTCCTGGGTTCAGTGGGCACTTCCCTGAACTACAATTTCTCTGTCAATCAAAAGTTTTGTTCTTCTAGATCATTGCTTAAGTTGTAGCATTCATTAAAAGAGAAAAAGCAAACCACAGTGGGGCTGAGAGTCCTGTGGAAATGACCTGCCCCCTTTTGAAATGAAAAGCAGATCTGACTTCAGGTGAAAGCTCTGGAGAAGAACCCTACTGGCTCACTTGTGGCAAAACCCCTCCCAGAAGCCTCCTTCCTAGCTTTTCTCGCTCTAACCCTTGCGATCAAACATCCCCATGGCGGTTCTAGCCCCAAAGGTTTATTTTCTACTTTAAACCACCTGCCTGGTGGCCGACAGATGGGAATGCTTTAAGCCTCCCTGCACTCATAGCTACTCCAGCAGTTATTTCTTTCAATTCCATTTTTGCCCCACTGGGAAATTAAATGGCATAAAAATCAATGCTTCACTTGAAAGGAAAAGGGGGCTGGATGACCAGATATCACTATATTCCTTTCCGGATTGGACACTGCCTCAGAGCATATCTGGCTAAATAAATTTCAACAGACAGGCCCAGAGGAGTTGGATGCAGGCATTCGCTGGAGCAAAGAGCGAAAGCTCTTCGTTTCAGATCTTCAGCTGATGAGCAACCCGACGCTTCCTTGGGTAGGAAAGATTTCAAGAGAAGACATTAAGCAGTGGCTCCCAGTTCTGAATTCTCTCCAAGTGCTGCAGACCACAAGCCCCTCAGGCTCTCAGGAGGGAGGACAGAAACTTGGCTTCAGATGAGTGGCATGGCACCGGGCAGAGCCCAGTATCTGTGGCCAGGGGCAGCTGCTATGTGCTACCCTAAGGGCACCCAGAGCCCTGGGCTTTGGGAGATGTTTGGAACAGAGTGCAGTTTCTTCTTACAGGGTAAAAAAAAAAAAAAAAAAAAAAAAAAAACTCTTATTTTGTCGTCCTCGGACCGGAACCCATGACTTTCCAAATGTGGCACAAGCACTCTGTCACTAAACTGTATCCCAGCCCACAGGTCATTTCAAACTGCCTTTTCAGCAGCGGCCACCACCCTGAGACACCAGGCTTACAGTTTCATGTAAAGAAATGACGACCTTCTCAGTGGTTTGCCAGCCAGAAATACGCTATTTCTCTGACTGAGACAAAGACAGTGCCCGGCAGTCTGGTGAGCTCCTGCTTTCTAAACACAACCCAAAACAAACGGGATGCCCACTAAGACACCCATGAAGGTGTCACCATAAATACCAATGAGGGTGTTTGGAAAGAGGCCAGCATCG